GCCTGGGAGTCTAGGATACAGCAGGCTCTGGGTAAATGCGTATTGTAAAGGTGGCAGGTAGAAAGGGCTTGGCTGTTGTTTTTCAAACAGATTATGCATATGCTGACATTATTAAAAACACACACGCACATGTACATCACCATTGCCCCAGAAACCTCTCCAGCTGACTAGTGTCAAGCTAGTGATTTATAAGATTGTCTGCACATATTATATTTTAAAACACATATTGCTTTTGTGAAATGTGTATTTATTACACATTTTGGAATTGATAATATTTGCCAAAAAGCAGCCTCTCCTTGCTGGATCTGAGACAGTCTGTCATGTAAACACATTTCTGGAAGAGACTTCATACAAATGCTTTAGATGGGGCCAACCAGCTTCCATGGTCTCTCCCTCTCTCTGTCTCTCTCACACACACACACACACGCCCCTTCTCCTCCCCCGACCATGTCACACCCATACAAATAAATAATAAAAACAGTAATGGAACAACAGCCCCAGAGGAAAGCTCTGTTAGGAATAAGTCTTATTTTCAAAGCTGCACAAAACCCATCCAGCGAAGTAACCTTGTGAAAAGCAACACTTTATAACTCTACAGATTGGGCTGCCCCAAATTAGCGAGATGGCTCTGTGAGCCCCACCAAGTGTGTTCTTCAAATACCCTGAGCTGTGACTCCAAGTGCGAGAGTTGACAGGAAATCCAATTTGCGGTCAGTCTATAGAAAGAGTGTTCCAGACTCTGATCACCTTGGTACGGCCATGTGGGTCAGTGTATGGCTGTGTGGGTGTGTGGGGCTGGGTAGGTATGTGGGTCTGTGTGCAGCTCTGTGGGTTAGTGTGTAGGTGTATGACTCTGTGGGTGTGTTGCTGCATGGCTGTGTGGGTCAGTGTGTGACTATGTGGGTGGGTTGGTGTGTGGACGTATGACTGTGTGGGTGTGTGGCTACACGGGTGTGTGGGTCAGTGTGTGGCTGTGTGGGTCGGTATGTTGCCGTGTGGGTCGGTTGTGCCGTGTGGGTCGGTGTGTGGCCATGTGGGTTGGTGTGTTGCTGTGTGGGTCGGGGTGTAGCTCTGTGGGTTGGTGTGTAGCTCTGTGGGTTGGTGTGTGGGTGTATGACTGTGTGAGTGTGTGGCTGCACGGCTGTGTGGGTCAGTGTGTTGACTGTGTGGGTCAGTGTGTGACTGTGTGGGTCGGTGTGTGGCTGTGTGGGTTGGTGTGTGGCTGTGTGGGTTGGTGTGTTGCTGTGTGGGTCGGTGTGTTGTGTGGGTTGGTGTGTTGCTGTGTGGGTCGGTGTGTTGCTGTGTGGGTTGGTGTGTGGCTGTGTGGGTGTGTGTTAGTCCACCCTGTGTAATGTGCATTCACACCCCACTCTGGCAGCTTAATCTTTTCCTCCCAGCATCCACTGGCATAATCAACTGGGGGCCTGCGCAGAACCTGCCAAGCTTATATTAACGTTGGCTCAGGGAGAGATTTATTCCTTCCTAGCACAGCACAGGCTGTACCTGGCTCAGCTACGACTCTCCCACCTTTACACCCCTCACTACACTACACATACACACAAACATGCACGCACACACACAGGCGTGCGCACGTGCGCATGAACACACACACACACACACGAGTGCCAGGTGGAACTAGTTCTGGTTAGTGTTTGGAAGGGGAACTTCCTTGGCCTCTGCCAAATATAGTCAATCACCCCGAGATTTTCAGAGCCTCTGCCTCATTGTTTGATCTGGAAACCCCTTTCCTACTCTACAGGGGCCACAAGCACATTATAAATGCAATCTCACTTGGAGGCTTAAGTGCCAACCTGGGCTCAAACAGCCGTGTCATCTGAATGAGTAATTTACTCATTCATAAATGGGGATGATATTAGCAGGATGACATCGTGAGGTTCCTCATTAAGATATCATTTTAAAATGAACCCCAGTCCTTGTCCAGTGGGAGAGGCATCAGACAGAATGTCTACTCCGCCTCAGTCCAGGATGGGATTAATCTCAGCCTGTTAGCCCTGCTAAGTCCAATCACACAAACCCTGCAGGGAGAAAGAGGAGAGCATCTGCCATACAGTCAGGCTGCCACCCTGTTCACTTGCTTCTGTCCTTGCCCCTGTCCCTGAGCTCCAGACACACAGAACTCTTCATTGATCCCAGGACACACCCCATTGCACATGCTGTGTCCTCTGCCTGGATTTCCCTTCCACCTATTCTCTGCCTAGAAAACTTATATTCATCCTTCAAAGCTGAGATCTAAAACCACCATTTATTGCAGCCTTCCATGCTCCCTCCTCTTCTCCCTCAGCCTCAAGCAGAGATAATTTCCTGGGTCATCATGGAATCTCATGGAAAGTTCTATTTGAACACTTCCCATACTTGCAACACCAGGACGTGATGTGGCTCTTCCACCAGATTGTGAACCCCTTGAAGAGAACAGTTATGTTTATCTTTGATTCCCTAATACTAAACCCGGTGTCAAGCACGTAGTAGTAAACTTAATCCATGTTTGAATGAATTATTCTTTGTGTCCTCAAAGTTTAACTCCATGACTGGGGCATACTAATTACCTAATGATTGTTTGTGGAAATTGTTATGAATCTATCTCTGCAGCCCCATAGCCTAGTAGAGTTGTTTGAATGAGTGAGCTGTGCCTCATTCTGGCCACTCACTATGTTTCCTGGACTGTAGTAGGTGCCAAAAAAAGTTTGCATGAATGTTCATTCCCCCAGCACCTGTTATAAAGTTTATCTAACTGTTGCAATTGACAACCCTCATGTTTCTCCTCAACTCAATCAGTGCAGGTTTTACTTACCTGACGATGCAATGCAGGTTCAGGGCACCAGAGGATGGGGGAGGGAAGGAGGGCTCTGCTCCACTGGTTCATTCAAGAACCCAGGCTCCTGATGGCTCTGCCAGTTTCAACAAGTGACCTTCCAGGGTCATCCTTGGTGTTGAAACCTAGCTGGAAGGTTGTGGAAAAAGCAGGAACATTTTATGGCCAGGTCAGGAACTACCCCACATCACTTCTGCTCACATTCCTTTAACTAGAATTCAGTCACTTTGGTCACACCTCACTGCAGGGAAGGCTTGAAAATGTAGTTTAAACTGTGTGCTCAAGTAAAAGTGGAAATGGGTTTGACGAGCAGTAGTAAGTCCAAAAAACTTATCAATCATCCACAAATATTTGATGAACAATATGAATAATGAGTTTTTCTATACCTGGAAGCTACGTATAGGTATGTTTGCACATAGCATATGCTCAATGAGTAGTTGAAATAATTCATCTCTGTATCGTCAAAAACCTTACATATTGTCTCATGTGGAGATGGTACTCAGTAAATAAATGGATGAAAAGGAGGGAGGGAGGGAGGGAAGGAGGAGGAAGGAAGGAAGGAAGGAAGGAAGGAAGGAAGGAAAGAAGGAAGGAAGGAAGGATGGATTTAATAACAAAGAGTAGATAATGTATAGATGAATGGACGGATGGATGCAAGAAATCAAGGATGGATGGGAGAAAAGAAGGAAGCAAAGATTTAGTAACAGATGAGTGAATGATGTATAGATGAATGGATGGGTGAAAGAAATCAAGGATGCGTGGGAGGAAAGAAGGAAGGAAGGAATGAACAAATGAAAGGAGAAAAGGAAGGAAAATAGTAAGAAAATATTTAATAATGGATGGATGATGGATAGATGAATGGATGAAAGAAAGGATGAGCGGGAGAAAAGGAGATGAGAGGGAGGAAGGTGTATATATACGTACATACACACACATACACACATATATACATATACATAGTCTTGTTAATATGTAACAAGAATTAGGAGTTATATATATATACATACACACACACACATACACATACACACACACATAAGTATATGCTTGGGAAATTAAGTACTTGGGAAATTGTTACCATCATAAACTAGGGCAATGGGTCACCCCTGAGGTGTTCCTGTTAGCCCCAACTGCTCAGTCCTTGCTTGGTCCTGATCCCTTGCCCCACACCTTACTACACCCTACACAGGGACTTGACCACCTTCTAGCTTCCAAGTAGGAGTGAGCTTACCTCCAGCTTTCCTGGGTGTGGTGGCTACAGCTTCAAGTGCGAGCCATGGAAAATGGGTGGGAAGACAGAGCAAGGTTTTAGATTCAAGGTCTACACTCTGCTTGAGTGATCAACATCATTTCCATACTATAATTACATTGCCCAATTCTCCCGATTGTACTGCTATCTTGTAGGCTGTCCTGGTTGGAAGTAATCTGAAACTATGAGACATTAGATTCTGTGAAACAATCACTTCCCAAAGAAATATGGTCCTAGACAGTAATTGATAAATCCCATTAAGCCTCTTATTTCCTATTTGGTCTCTTCTGAGATGACATTGTTGATTTGTGTAATGCAAACTGTGTCCCCCATATTGCCAAACGTGAAAGATTTGCCCAGCTTTGGAGGATAAGGGCTCAGGGAGTCTAAGTCAGGGAGCAGAAGGAAGACGCTGTTGAGTTATGATAGGTGGCTAGACCAGATATATCTTGACGGATTTTTCTCCATGGTCTGCATGATTATTCTGCTCCAGAGAACTCCTACAAGGACAGCTTACAACTACTGTGGTTTAAGTCAGAGGCCACAGGATCTGTTCTTGTGAAACTTGGTTAGCATAAAAGGAAAAGGGACGCATATGGCTCAGAGCTCAGAGGTGCTCCACAAGGGATGCCCCAGAACACTGCAGATGGTCCAGGAGGAGCACACATCTTTGCAAAGCACCCCTGACTCTCCAGTCCTGATATCCTCAGTCCCTGGCTTCTGTACCCTAAATCCAGAACTTTGCTGAGTTAGAGTGTGTTAAAATAATTGTGTTTATCTCATGCTCTTGTAAAATTTAGGACTTGTTTGCTTAGACATCCCCCGACCCAGCCAATTTCTTCCTTACCCTGTCTTTTCTGGGTCCAGGGATGAGAGACTAAAGACTTTTGTTAAAGAGGAAAGCAAGCTGAAGTGAAAAGGAAAGAGCACTAAACTAGGAGTCAGGCAATGAAATTACAATCCCTATCTTGTGGCAAAGTTGCTGAACTGCTTTGAGCAAGTCTCGTCCCCTTTCTGGCCTGGCCTGCAACTCCCCATCTTAAGATAAGGGATTAGTCTAGAACATTTTAAAATTAGCTGCCAATATTTAAAATCAAGAGATCCCACATAAAAGAGTTTTTTTTTTTTTTAGCTCCTCCCATAAATTCTGATTGGAAACACCAGTCTCACACTCCCACTTGGCCTCAAACAGCTGAAACTGAGTGGTGGCTTCTTGCTTTAGGTGGGGTTTGCCCTTCAGGTTAACCACAATCCCCACTACTCTCTATTGCTTTAAACCTTGCTTCACTTGCTTATGTTATCAACTGGCTCTCGTAAGCTTATGTTTGTAATTTCTAGATATCTATTCCCACTCCAGCTTCATTAATTCAAAATAAACTCACTCTCACACAGAAGCCAAGTGTAAGAACCATCACCTGTGACTGCTATTTGTCAACGCTAATTAGGCCTGCATGGCCCCAGTTCAGCACCCTGGACAAATTATTGAGCGCTATTAGAGGCAAGTGAGTCCTCCCATATCCCACCAAGTCCTGTCTAACGGGCAGCCACACCCCGCCCAGACTGAGAATATGCTGATACCTGGTAGACTAAAACTTCATCTTGTTATTAGCACCAAAGCCTTGAATCCCTACTAAATCTGCCCTGCATTTGATTTCTTTGTAATTCTGCCATTCCTTGGGATCAGGATGGGGATGTGGGGGGATGAGGGTGAGATGGGTAATTCTTCTCTGTCAAGACATGTCTAAACTGCCTATCTTTTAGGTGCAACTGCTGCTTCCCAAAGGCCATCGTTCTTGTTGCTGTAAAGAATGATGGATGTGATACCATATATTACCACTGTGCACTTTCATTTTCAGTGTCTGATTTTCCTCCCCCAAATTGCCAAGTGATCGAGAGGCTAGGGTTGCTTTTATGAGATGTGTCATAAGGCCTTCTTTATGAACAACGTGGCCAGGCAACGTGGATCAGAGATAAGGAAAAACTTTCAGGTACCTCCGAGTTGTTTCTTGCTGGTATCTTTTCGCAGGTTCCCTCCAAGGCGTCTCTCCAGGAGTCCATGGCTGCCAGGAGGATATCAGGTGGTTAATCTGCTTTCAACTCCTTACAATTACTGAGCCCACCAGTCAAAACCCACCACAATCTGGAACCCACTGAGGGCCCACTCTGTGGCAGGCACTGTGCTGAGGTCTAAGAGGTGAGAGATAAAAAGTATATCTCTGCTCTTGTGAAGCTTCTATTCCAGTGAGCAAGAGACAATTAAAACAAAGCTATGGTGTGGTGCAGTGGGTCACACCTGTAATCCCAGCACTTTTGGAGGCTGAGGCAGGTGGACCACTTGAGGTCAGGAGCTCAAGACCAACCTGGCCAACATAGAGAAACCCCGCCTCTACTAAAAATACAAAAATTAGGCCGAATAGGAACAGCTCCAGTCTACAGCTCCCAACATGAGTGATGCAGAAGACGGGTGATTTCTGCGTTTCCAACTGAGGTACCGGGTTCATCTCACTGGGGCTGGTTGGACAGTGGATGCAGCCCATGGAGTGTGAGCCGAAGCAGGGCAGGGCATCACCTCACCCGGGAAGGGCAAGGGTTTGGGAAATTCCCTTTCCTAGCCAAGGGAAACCGTGACAGACAGTACCTGGAAAATCAGGACACTCCCACCCTAATACTGAGCTTTTCCAATGATCTTAGCAAATGGCACACCAGGAGATTATATCCCACACCTGGCTCTGAGGGCCCCATGCCCATGGAGCCTCACTCACTGCTAGCACAGCAGCTTGAGATTGAACTGCAAGGTGACAGTGAGGCTGGGGGAGGGGCGTCCACCATTGCTGAAGCTCGAGTAGGTAAACAACATGGCTGGAAAGCTCAAACATGGTAGAGCCCACTGCTGCTCAAGGAGGCCTGCCTGCCTCCGTAGACTCCACCTCTGGGGCAGGGCATAGCTGAACAAAAGGCAGCAGAAACTTCTGCAGACTTAAACATCCCTGACAGCTTTGAAGAGAGTAGGGGTTCTCCCACATGGAGTTTGAGATCTGAGAATGTACAGACTGCCTCCTCAAGTGGGTTCCTGACTCTCAAGTAGCCTAACTGGGAGACGTCTCCCAGTAGGGGCCGACTGACACCTCGTACAGCCAGGTGCCCCTCAGAGACGAAGCTTCCAGATGAAGGATCAGGCAGCAACTTTAGTCATTCTGCCATATTTGCTGTTTTGCAGCCTCCACTGGTGAAACCCAGGCAAACAGGGTCTGGAGTAGACCTCCAGCAAACTCAAACAGACCTGCAGCCGAGGGTCCTGACTGTTAGAAGGAAAACTAACAAATAAAAAGGACATCCACACCAAAACTCCATCTGTACGTCACTATCATCAAAGACCAAGGGTAGATAAAACCACAAAGATGGGGAGAAACCAGAGCAGAAAAGCTGAAAATTCTAAAAATCAGAGCACCTCTTCTTCTCCAAAGGAATGCAGCTCCTTGCCAGTGATGGAACAAAGTTGGACAGAGAATGACTTTGACAAGTTCAAAGTTCCCTTTGAAAGGGAAGCTCATCAGACTAACAGCGAATCTCTCAGCAGAGACTCTACAAGCCAGAAGAGAGGGTGGCTCAATAGTCAACATTCTTAAGAAAAGAATTTTCAACCCAGAATTTCATATCCAGCCAAACTAAGCTTCATAAGTGAAGGAGAAATAAAATCCTTTACAGACAAGCAAATACTGAGAGATTTTGTCACCACCAGGGTTGCCTTACAAGAGCTCCTGAAGGAAGCACTAAACATGGAAAGGAACAACTGGTACCAGCCAGTGCAAAAACATGCCAAATTGTAAAGACCATTGATGCTAGGAAGAAACTGCATCAACTAACGTGTAAAATAACCAGCTAACATCATAATTACAGGATCAAATTCACACATAAGAATATTAACCTTAAATGTTAATGGGCTAAATGCTCCAGTTAAAAGACACAGACTGGCAAATTGGATAAAGAGTCAAGACCCATCAGTGTGCTGTGTTCAGGAGACCCATCTCACATGCAGAGACACACATAGGCTAAAAATAAAGGGATGGAGGAAGATACACCAAACAAATGGAAGCAAAAAAAGAAAAAAAAAAAAACAAAACAGGGTTGCAATGCTAGACTCTGATAAAACAGATTTTAAAGGAACAAAGATCAAAAGAGACAAAGAAGGCCATTACATAATGGCAAAGGGATCAATTCAACAAGAAGAGCTAACTGTCCTAAATACATATGCACCCCATACAGGAGCACCCAGATCCATAAAGGAAGTCCTTAGAGACCTACAAGGAGACTTAAACTCCAACACAACAATAATGGGAGATTTTAACACCCCACTGTCAACATAAAACAGATCAACGACACAGAAAGTTAACAAGGATATCCAGTACTTGAACTCAGTTCTGCACCAAGCAGACCTAATAGACATATACAGAACTCTCCACCCCAAATCAACAGAATATACATTCGTCTCAGCACCACATCGCACTTATTCCAAAATTGACCACATAGTTGGAAGTAAGCACTCCTCAGCAAATGCAAAATAACAGAAATTATAACAAACTGTCTCTTAGACCACAGTGCAATCAAATTAGAACTCAGGATTAAGAAACGCACTAAAAACTGTTCAACTACATGGAAACTGAACAACCTGCTCCTGAAGTACATAACTGGGTACATAACGAAATGAAGGCAGAAATAAAGATGTTCTTTGGGGCAAAAACTGGAAAAATTCCCTTTGAAAACTGGCACAAGACAGGGATGCTCTCTCTCACTACTCCTATTCAACATAGTGTTGGAAGTTCAGGCTAGGGCAATCAGGCAAGAGAGAGAAATAAAGGGTATTCAGTTAGGAAAAGAAGAAGTCAAATTGTCCCTCTTTGCAGATGACATGATTGAATATTTAGAAAACCCCACTCTCTCAGCCCAAAACCTCCTTAAGCTGATAAGCAACTTCAGCAAAGTCTCAGGATACAAAATTAATGTGCAAAAATCACAAGCATTCTTATACACCAGTAACAAACAAACAGAGAGCCAAATCATGAATGAACTTCCATTCACAATTGCTTCAAAGAGAATAAAATACCTAGGAATCCAACTTACAAGGGATGTAAAGGACCTCTTCAAGGAGAACTACAAACCACAGCTCAGTGAAATAAAAGAAGACACAAACAAATGGAAGAACATGCCATGCTCATGGATAGGAAGAATCAATATCGTGAAAATGGTCATACTGCCCAAGGTTATTTATAGATTCAATGCCATCCCCATCAAGCTACCAATGACTTTCTTCACAGAATTGGAAAAAACTGCTTTAAAGTTCATATGGAACCAAAAAAGAGCCTGCATTGCAAAGACAATCCTAAGTTAAAAGAACAAAGCTGGAGGCATCACGCTACCTGACTTCAAACTATACTACAAGGCTACAGTAACCAAAAGAGCATGGTACTGGTACCAAAACAGAGATATAGACCAATGGAACAGAATAGAATCCTCAGAAATAATACCACACATCTACAGCTATCTGATCTTTGACAAACCTGAGAGAAACAAGAAATGGGGAAAGGATTCCCTATTTAATAAATGGTGCTGGGAAAATTGGCTAGCCATAAGTAGAAAGCTGAAACTGGATCCTTTCCTTACTCCTTATATGAAAATTAATTCAAGATGGATTAGAGACTTAAATGTTAGACCTAATACCATAAAAACCCTAGAAGAAAACCTAGGTAGTACCATTCAGGACATAGGCATGGGCAAGGACTTCATGTCTAAAACACCAAAAGCAATGGCAGCAAAAGCCAAAATTGACAAATGGGATCTAATTAAACTAAAGAGCTTCTGCACAGCAAAAGAAGCTACCATAAGAGTGAACAGGCAACCTACAGAATGGGAGAAAATTTTTGCAATCTATTCATCTGACAAAAGGCTAATATCCAGAACCTACAAAGAACTCAAACAAATTTACAAGAAAAAAACAAACAACCCCATCAAAAAGTGGGCAAAGGATATGAACAGACATTTCTCAAAAGAAGACATTCATACAGCCAACAGACACATGAAAAAATGCTCGTCATCACTGGCCATCAGAGAAATGCGAATCAAAACCACAATGAGATACCATCTCACACCAGTTAGAATGGCAATCATTAAAAAGTCAGGAAACAACAGGTGCTGGAGAGGATGTGGAGAAATAGGAACACTTTTACACTGTTGGTGGGATTGTAAACTAGTTCAGCCATTATGGAAAACAGTATGGCGATTCCTCAAGGATCTAGAACTAGAAGTACCATATGACCCAGCCATCCCATTACTGGGTATATACCCAAAGGATTATAAATCATGCTGCTATAAAGACACATGCACACGTTATGTTTATTGTGGCACTATTCACAATAGCAAAGACTTGGAATCAACCCAAATGTCCATCAGTGACAGACTGGATTAAGAAAATGTGGCACATATACACCACGGAATACTATGCAGCCATAAAAAAGGATGAGTTTGTGTCCTTTGTAGGGACATGGATGCAGCTGGAAACCATCATTCTTAGCAAACTATCACATGAACAGAAAACCAAACACTGCATGTTCTCACTCATAGGTGGGAACTGAACAATGAGATCACTTGGACTCTGGAAGGGGAACATCACACACCTGGGCCTATCATGGGGAGGGGGGAGGGGGGAGGGATTGTATTGGGAGTTATACCTGATATAAATGATGAGTTGATGGGTGCTGATGAGTTGATGGGTGATGAGTTGAAGGGTGCAGCACACCAACATGGCACAAGTATACATATGTAACAAACCTGCACGTTATGCACATGTACCCTAGAACTTAAAGTATAATAATAATAATTAATTAATTAAATAATTAATTTTTTAAAAAAAAGATGTTCTTTGAAACCAATGAGAACAAAGACACAATATACCAGAATCTCCGGGACACGTTTAAAGCAGTGTGTAGAGGGAAATTTATAGCAATAAATGCCCACAAGAGAAAGCAGGAAAGATCTAAAATTGACACCCTAACATCACAATTAAAAGAACTAGAGAAGCAAGAGGAAACACATTCAAAAGCTAGCAGAACGCAAGAAATAACTAAGATCAGAGCAGAACTGAAGGAGATAGACACACAAAAACCCCTTCAAAAAAATCAATGGATCCAGTAGCTGTTTTTTTGAAAAGATCAACAAAATTGATAGACTGCTATCAAGACTAATAATGAAGAAAAGAGAGAAGAATCAAATAGATACAATAAAAAAAATGATAAAGGGGATATAACCACTGATCCCACAGAAATACAAACTACCATCACAGAATACTATAAACACTTCTACACAAATAAACTAGAAAATCTAGAAGAAATGAATAAATTCCTGGTCACATACACCCTCCCAAGACTAAACTAGGAAGAAGCTGAATCCCTGAATAGACCAATAACAGGCTCTCAAATTTTGAGCCAATAATTAATAGCTTATCAACCAAAAAAAGTCCGGGACCAGACAGATTCACAGCTGCATTCTACCAGAGGTACAAAGAGGAGCTGGTATCATTCCTTCAGAAACTATTTCAATCAATAGAAAAAGAGGGAATCCTCCCTAACTCGTTTGATGAGGCCAGCATCATCCTGATACCAAAGCCTGGTGGAGACACAACAAAAAAAGAGAATTTTAGGCCAATATCCTTGATGAATATTGATTCAAAAATCCTCAATAAAATTCTGGCAAACCAAATCCAGCTGCACATCAAAAAGCTTATCCACGACAACCAAGTGGGCTTCATCCCTGGGATGCAAGGCTGGTTCAACATATGCAAATCAATAAAGGTAATCCATCATAAACAGAACCAAAAACAAAAACCACATGATTATCTCAATAGATGCAGAAAAGGCCTTTGACAAAATTCAACAGCACTTCTTGCTAAAAACTCTCGATTAACTAGGTATTGATGGAATGTATCTCAAAACAATAAGAGCTACTTATGACAAACACACAGTCAATATCATACTGAATGGGCAAAAACTAGAAGCATTCCCTTTGAAAACTGGCACAAGACAGGGATGCCCTCTCTCACCACTCCTATTGCAACATAGTGTTCGAAGTTCTGGCCAGTGCAATCAGGCAAGAGAAAGAAATAAAGGGTATTCAATTAGGAAAAGAGGAAGTCAAATTGCCCCTGTTTGCAGATGACATGATTGTATATTTAGAAAACCCAACAGTCTCAAGCCAAAATCTCCTTAAGCTGATTAGCAACTTCAGCTAAGTCTCAGGATGCAAAATCAATGTGCAAAAATCACAAACATTCCTACACACCAATAACAAACAGAAAGCCAAATCATGAGTGAACTCCCATTCACAATTGCTTCAAAGAGAATAAAATATCTAGGAATACAACTTACAAGGGATATGAAGGACCTCTTCAAGGAGGAACTACAAACCACTGCTCAATGAAATAAGAGAGGACACAAACAAATGGAAAAACATTCTATGCGTATGGATAGGAAGAATCAATATCATGAAAATGGCCATATTGCCCAAGGTAATTTATAGATTCAATGCTATCCCCATCAAGCTACCAATGACTTTCTTCACAGAATCCAAAAAAAAAAAAACTATATTAAAGTTCACATGGAACCAAAAAAGAGCCCCCATTGTCAAGACAATCCTAAACCAAAAGAACAAAGCTGGATGCATCACACTACCTGACTTCAAACTATACTACAAGGCTGCAGTAACCAAAACAGCATTGTACTGGTATCAAAACAGAGATATAGACCAATGGAACAGAACAGAGCCCTCAGAAATAATACCACACATCTACAACCATCTCATCTTTGACAAACCTGACAAAAACAAGGAATAGGGAAAGGATTCCCTATTTAATAAATGGTGCTGGGAAAACTGGCTAGCCATATGTAGAAAGCTGAAACTGGATCCCTTCCTTACATCTTATACAAAACTTAATCCAAAATGGATTAAAGACTTAAATGTTAGACTGAAAATCATGAAAACCCTAGAAGAAAACCTAGGAAATACCATTCAGGACACAGGCATGGGCAATGACTTCATGTCTAAAACACCAAAAGCAATGGCAACAAAAGCCAAAATATCAAATGGGATCATTAAACTAAAGAGCTTGTGCACAGCAAAAGAAACTAGCATCAGAGTGAACAGGCAACTTACAGAATGGGAGAAATTTTTTGCAATCTATCCATCCAACAAATGGCTAATATCCAGAATCTACAAAGAACTTAAACAAATTTACAAGAAAAAATCAAAACAACCCATCAAAAAGTGGGCAAAAGATATGAACAGACACTTCTCAAAAGAAGACATTTATGCAGCCAACAGACACATGAAAAAATGCTCATCATCATTGGCCATCAGAGAATTGCAAATCAAAACCACAGTGAGATACCACCTCACACCAGTCAGATGGTAAAATGTCAGGAAACAACAGTGCTGGAAAGGATGTGGAGAAATAGGAACACTTTTACACTGTTGGTGGGACTGTAAACTAGTTCAGCCATTATGGAAAACAGTATGGCGATTCCTCAAGGATCTAGAACTAGAAATACCATTTGACCCAGTCATCCCATTACTGGATATATACCCAAAGGATTATAAATCATGCTACTATAAAGACACATGCACACGTATGCTTATTGCGGGACTATTCACAATAGCAAAGACTTGGAACCAACCCAAATGCTCATCAATGACAGACTGGATTAAGAAAATGTGGCACATATACACCATGGAATACTATGCAGCCATAAAAAAGGATGAGTTCATGTCCTTTGTAGGGACATGGATGAAGCTGGAGACCATCATTCTGAGCAAACTATCACAAGGACAGAAAACAAAACACATGTTCTCACTCATAGGCGGGAACTGAACAATGAGAACACTTGGACACAGGGTGGGGAACATCACACACCAGGGCCTGTCGTTGGGTGGGGAGAGAGGGGAGGCATAGCATTAGGAGATATGTTAGGAGATATGTTACATTAGGAGATACCTAATGTAAATGACCAGTTAATGGGTGCAGCACAGCAACACGGCACATGTATACATATGTAACAAACCTGCACATTGTGCACATGTACCCTAGAACTTAAATTATAACAAAAAATAAATAAAAATAACAATACCAAAATTAGCTGGGCATGGTGGCACTCACCTATAACCCCAGCTACTCAGGAGGCTGAGGCAGGAGAATCACTTGAATCCGGGAGACAGAGGCTGCGGTGAGCCAAGAAAATGCCACTACACTCCAGCCTGGGTATAAATAAATAAAAAATAGATAAATAAATAAATAAAAGCTATCTACTAGCCAGCAGTGATAAGCACTGGGAAGAAAACTATCTGAGTAAAGACAGGATGATGGTGATGGATATTGTAGGTTCGAGCCACCGGGGAGACCTCTCCCTGAGGTGGCTTCTATGCAGACCCCTAGATGAAGCGGATGCTCAGGCTGTGAGGAAGAGCTGTCTGGGTGATGGGAGAACAAGTGCCAAAGTCTGGCAGCTACAACATGCTTGGAACATTTGAAGACCAGAAAGAGGGTCTTTGTAGCTACAGCAGAGTAAGAGAGAGAAACTAAAGAAGACACTAAGGTCAGAGAACTGGTCCTCATTGTCCACTGCTCCATTGACCTTGGCTTTAAGTATTCGCCTGCAGTCTCCAGAGAAACAGGAAGAACAGGATATGTAGCAGAGATATTAAACCACACTTAGAGACAGAGATGGAGACAGAGATAGAGATGATAGAGATGGTGATGAAGATGGAGGTAGAGATGGAGATAAAGAGGTAGAAGTAGAGGTAGAGGTAGAGAGAGACATAGAAATAGAGAGAGAAATTAAAAAACACTTACTTTAATGTATCTGCTCATGAAATTGTGGGGCTGGCCAATTCCGACATCTTCAGGGCGGGTCAGCAGGCTGCAAGTGCTCAGGCGGGAGCTGATGATGCTGCAGTCTTGGGGAAGAATTTCTTCTTCCTCAGAGAAACCTCAATTCCACTCTTTAGGCCTTTTAACTGATCAAATGGGGCCTATTCAGTTTACTGAAGGTAATCTCCTTATCTTAAGTCAACTGATAGTAGATGTTAGCCCATCTACAAAATCCCTTGAGAGCAACACCTAGATGAGTGTTGGATTGAGTAACTGGGTGCTATAGCCTGGCCAGGTGGACACATACAACTCCCCACCACAGGCTCTTTGAGCTCCTGCCTTATTCTCCATCACATGCCTCTGCTTTTGGCATCCTCTCTGTGCACAGCTCCAAGTGCGTCTCCTACCATAATGACCAGTATGGGGTCTGGCCTAAGGATACAGTAAGATGTTATTGCTATTATTTTGTTAGTCACCTTAAATATTTTTTGAAGAGTGATGATATTTTTCAAAATAAAACGTATGATTTCCATGTCCCTATCTGGGTTCTGAGATGTTTAGATTTCAGCGAGAGGAGTTTGGCAGACTTGCCGCATCTCCTCCAATGCTACCAGAGCACTGATGGATGAAGGATTGCCCTGTGAACCTCTGACTCATCTGCTTGTTCTCTGAGCTTTTCCATAGAGCAGAAAGACAGCTCTAGACTGAGTCAGAGCCAGAGAGGGCTGTGGCATTATCCTTAAAGACACAGCATCCGTGAATGTGTCTCCACACCCCATCCCCAGCCTATATGCCTTTGGGGAGAAAGAGTGCTAAGCCCTCTCTATGAGGCTGCCCCAAGTCTTTCTAGGCAGGG